GATCCAATTGGTTTCGGATCGATTGGTTTAGTTATATATGAGTGTATATGCACATTTGGCAACCTATATGTCATCTTAATTTATGCACGCTGCAAGAAATGATTGCAATTATTTTTAAATTTCGTTTCCATATTAACTTATCTAGTCAAGAATAAATGTTTCAAGGCAATTTACAGCTACTGAGTGTGTAATCATTCTATTTGTTGTGATGCTGCTTTGATACTGGAACCTCTCTCTGTTTTTTTTTTTTTTCCCTCAAGCACCAATTTAATTCTTGTAGTTTGTTGCCAATGTTTTTTTGTAACTACTTCAGAGAACCAACTTCCTAAATGGAAAGAAAGACGGCAAGAAGTGAAGAAGATAATGTGGTAAAGTTGGACGCAACTATCATCACTAAGAAAGGAGAAAGGAGGTTTCAATTAGCATGGTAGTCAGATGAGCATGGGCATCAGTTATGTCTTAAACTTTGCATCATCTTTGTCTCATCCATTCATTTATGGTTCACGAGAGGAGAAACTGATAGAAGATATGATCTCTGCGGAGACAGCTATTGCGTAAGGATTCCTTAAATCTTAATAACGAGATTTTTGTTCCCTCTACATCAGAACTACTATTTTGCCTAACTTTTGATTTCTCAAATCATTTGGGGAAACCACTTGTTTGTGCGTGTTTTATATCAGTTTCTATGTATTTATCCTATATAAGTTTTTAATTAAGTTTCAACAGATTAACCAATTTCTTTTCTTTTCTTATTGTGTGTGTATTTTCAGGTGGTGGTGTTCAAGTGAGTTGAGGAATAATGCCCACCTCCATTTGATATTGCTGTACATGGGCTAGAAATGGACACAATAATGGAACTAGTTAATTTGGTTCTATCAAATGCTGACACTAGGGTAATTTTCGGTCTTAATAGAAGTTTTAGATTCTTTTAATTGTCTTATGGATATTAATTTTTATGTTATCGGTTAATCTTTACCATAATTAAGGAAAATAAAAAAGTATGTGTGCATGTACTTACGAGCGTGCATGGACATGTCTGAATTGAATGGAAGATGAGGATCAACATAGCAGATCCAACATCATTGGAATTGATAGATGTAGTTCGTTGGTCTGTGTGCAGATTTAATCTATACACGCTACTAGAAGTGCTCAAATGGAATATAATACTAATCTTAATTAATGTGCTAAATTAGGTTTAAATCTTCCTTTTTCTCTGCTAGATAGTATTCATTGGTCATTTATATGAATAAAGTATTAATGATTATTAAGAACTCAGCAGCTCCCTTTTTTGGTTTTCTTCTCCAACCAACTTTTAGCGTTCTAGGCCCTTGAAAAATATGAAACCCAAAATAAGATCAAAATATAAGGAGGGAATTCCCATCTATTGATTATGATTGCAATTTTGGAAATTTTGTTATGTTTGACTACCTTTCAAGTTAGATAGGTATTTTATACCTTTGAGGGAAGGGATAATTACGTTTGGTTATGAAGATAGCTTGGCTGCATCTATTCGATTGTTTTTTTATAATGCTTTTTCAGATACAGTTTTTTCGGATGGACTTTTTTAGATTATTTGTGAAGTTGATCATGTGTGCTTAGATATACTCACTCATGTTACTTTTCTCTTGTTCTTCAACAAAAATAAAACTCCTAGAACTTTTATTTTTAATCTTTTTCCACCGGAAAGATTAGTTTATCCAAAAGAAACAGAATGGAGGTTAACACAACTCTTATCATACACTAAAATTTTCTTGGTTTTACTGATATGTAAGTCATTATTGTGAAAGTGAGATGGGGATTATTTATTTATTTAATTTAAAAATATTCCCTTATTCTTGCAAAGGATTGTGTCTAATCCTTACAGTGTTTCCCTTAAATAATCAATTGACTAGTTGCACTTCAGGGAAGTTGTACATTGGAGTCTTAAAACAAAGATTTTCTCAAATTTTCAGAACTTACAAAGTTTAGTTGCTAGGAATCAGCTTTCTATTGGTGATGTTCAGTTTGTTTGACTTCATGATTAAAAGGAATTATTAATTGTTAGTTTTGAAAGGAAGTTCAGATTCTATAATTCTCAAAACTTACATAATGTGGTTGCAATTTTTTGTTTGGCTTTCTTGTTATATATATGTTTATCAGACATCAAAATATATATGGAAGCTTTTATCAGTCTTTTCTTAGTGTATGCAGACATTTTTTTTAATCGGCCAATGCCGCCATATTAACACTGCACTGCAGTTGATGAGGCTTTAGAGAAATTTGTTTGTAAATGATTTTGTAAAGAGTAGATGCGGTAAAGTAAGTCACTGGCTGCATGAGCTGTTCTAGCTTGTTTACCTGCAATGCTAATATTCCATAGACACATTCATGGCTTGAGAAATATTGAATATTCACTTCAGATCAGTGATATACATTAGTCATCCATATTGGCAATTCATGGCTTAAGAAATCTTCAAATGTGGGGCACATGAGAATATAGCCTTGAATATTTGTCATGTGAATTCTGTTTCTTCTCAAAATGCTGCATGATTTATTTTTTAAGTTTATAATAATATAACAATAATACTTTGGAATGGAAAACACCACCCAGCTATCTTAATAGGTCTTTCTCCACCTTTTATTAGCATTTTAGCACTCTCTTTTAGCAATGCCAGTGCAATTTCAACTGCGTCCTTACTTTTTTGTTAATAACTTTAACTTATGTCCTAAGACAAAACACATCAAGAAACCCCAATTATGAGTAGGTGATAAAAAGAAAATGAACCCAATATAGGAATTTGGAAGGGAAACCTACCTACTGTAGGACAAGATAGAAATCCACATTCTAGACTTTAGATTTGAACCAAATCCCTTTGCTTTCAATACCCATTATCTTTCGTTTTTCTGTGACAAAAAAAAAAAAAAAAAATTTGATTTGGCATCATTAGTTTTCTTCTGGTTACAGCACTGGCAACTTTTGTTAGCACACCTTGTTTGGTTTTAAAATTCTGTTTGCTAAAGCAAAATAAGGCAAGAAACTGTAATTGACAGGTAGTATCCAGGAAACCAAATCCTAGAGAGAGAAGATTTAGTGCTAGAAATTAATTCTAGAGGAGAAAGAACCTGTATCTTTCTCTATATAAACATCTTCACCAAACCCTTGCAGTTGCGAACGATCTAGGGTTTCTCTCTTAACTTGCACTGAAAAAATGTGGATAAACTTAATTAACCAGATAAAATAAATTAGAAATAAGATTAGATAAGAACAAAAATTTGAAAGGAAAAATCATCTATAGGGTCTGATACTTAGACAGCCACATAGGTCTTCTAGACCTTGGATCAGAACCAAATCTCTATTCTTTTAATTTGTATTATGAATTTTGCAATGACAAATCAGGTTTAAATTAGCGTCATTAGTTCACTACTAATTATAGTTCTAGCATTCATGAACATACCTTATGTGTCGATGCCAAACAAAGCAAGAAAATCCAGGAAACAAATCCTAGAGATACACAACACGTGGTGTGAAAAACCCTAGAGGAAAAGAGGAGATGTAACCAGAGTCTCTTTCTATATAAACATCTTATTCAGCAAACCCTCACAATCATCAAAATAGATGAAATGGGAACTGCCGCTTTTCCTAGTGCTGCCTTACTCAAAGAAGGGAAAGCCGATGAGGAAGATGAAGATGGCCACATACAGAAGCTCAAGTTGAGTTTTTGTTATCAGATTGGAGATACACCAAGAGGAAAAGTCCAGGTTAGGTTCTATTTTATCATTGAATTTTCAGCTATAGTTGAAGCTAAATTAATATTGTGCTGATTTATGTTCCTCTGACATTGTAGGATGTCTTTTCCACATTATTAGCCTCTTTTATGGGCTATTGTTTTGACTCTCTGTGGGGGGTTTTGATATCCCCATGTTGGAGACCTCTTTAGCCAAGGTAGGGGTTTGGTTATCACCAAGCAGAAGATGATTACAAGGAAATTAGATGTATTTATTTATGGATTGTAATCAATCTATCTCTCTCTTTGAAGAGGATCCCAATTGGTCCATGAAGGAATATGGTGTGATGGAATCTTGGGCACTGCTGTTTGTAATTGATCAGTAAACTGAGATAGTTGAGGGCTACTGACTATTTTAGAAAATTGTGAGATTGGAACTATTTTGGAAACACCAAATTGGTGATCTATTACCATTTGCTGGAAATAGAGTCCTTGGAGATCGAGTAAATATTTATACAATGACTCGAACTCTTGAATGTCTTGTATGGTGCAAGGATGTAAATAATGTTCAGAATCCATAATATGGTAATATTATTGCACAAATGCGTTATTCTGACTGCTTTATTCTTATTTTAATGTAAATTTCAATCTATTTCCAGCTCTCAAAGTCTCCAATTGTTACTAGACTGCTTTGTTTTGTTTTACAATTTCACTGCCTAATTCATTGTTTAAATCGAATTTCAAAGACAAATGTTCGAACACTCATAAAATAAATAAATAAATAAATGAGATTTCGAGGCGATCTAGTCTACTAGTTTCGGTCAATCCAGTACTCCTTATCCACGTTAAAATCCTCAGAAGTATGGCACAAATAGGTTAATGCAAAAGGCAATGATTTTAGCCATTTGAGATTTCGAGTAATCCAAAACTACAGAATATATATATATATATGAGATTTTCTTTGTTTCCCTTAGGAAACCCTAGGTAAGAAGTGGTGCCAAAAAACAAACCAAGAAATTTTGAAAGGAAAAGTATCTCTGGTCGAATAAGTTAGAGAGATATACACTCTAGATCTTAGATTAGAACCAAATCCCTTTGTTTTCAATTCTCATCATTACTTTTTGTACTAATTAGGCAATTATTAACACACATTTTATGGTATTGAGGTCCTATGTGCTAAAACTAATAAGAAATGAAACCTCAATGGGTGGGTGATGTCAATAAACCAAATCCTGGAAAGATAGAACATTTGGTATTTGGATATTCTCGAGGAAGCATCTGTCTTCACAATTCGAGTTTGACATCACACTTGCTCAACCATTTGATAGCAATAATGAGAGTTCAACAAACCATGCCGCACTCGTTCCTGCCAAACTATCGGCTTTTTTGATACCACTAATTGAGGAGAGTCATTTGTGCGTACACATGTGAAGACTTGTATACAAGAATGGACACTAGTTTAATCCAAAAAGTTAAAACCTAGAAATCACCTCAAACTTCATAAGCATCTTCTTGATCTGAGTGTGGCATCACACTTGCTCAAACATTTTGTGCCAACAATGAGAGCTTAACCAATCATGTCGCTCTCCATCAGAGGCTTCTTCACAATCCGAGTGTGGCGTCACACTTGCTCAACCATTGGATGGCAACAATGATTATATCCTTAACACTTCGGTAGCTAGTTTTTGTGCAAGGATCTTTGTTTCTTAATGAGCATTGATGTAAAGGAAATAACAAGTTTAGGCAAAGATTTAAAATAAATAAAATCTAATAGCTGAGTTACATGAACTTGATTTTCTAGCTACATCTATACATTTATAAAGATCCTACACCACACGTAATCTTTGTTTTTTTCCCATCCTTTTGCACTATAACCTGGTCATTTTTCGCCTGATTGCTTTAATTTAGCCATACCACCAATCACCACCTTCTTCACCTTCATTTTTCCACCAGACTTTACATTCGTCAACTGACCCACTTTTATGTCCAAGATTCAAAGCAATGGAGATGGGCAATGAGGAAAAGAATTTTAAAAACATTCATGTACAAAAAGTTTCAATGTAAAATCATGCATGTTACACTTATTGGGATATTTGTATCTAACGTCGGCTACTGTGATGTAGGTAATGATGCAAATGTTGAGGATGTTGATGGTGCTCCCGATGATCAATGACTCATATGCTTGCCTTTGCGTATTCTTAACAATTAGGATATGCTTTAAATGAATATTTATTTTTAAAATAATAAATGTAATGATATTAAACTTATGAATATTGAAAATTTTTACTCGGAATTTGAGTGTGAATATTGGGACAAGATTATTTATAAATGTTAGTTATGGTTAGAGATGTTTTTATGAGTGATGAAATTTTAGAATAACGCTTTCGCTATATTAATGAGAAAATGTTATGATTATATATTATTAATGATATATTTTAAATTGATATATTTAAAGATAAACAAGATTAAATTAGAAATTTAATTTTAAAAAAATTAAAAAGATATAAGTTTTATTATTGACCCATTTAGTCATGATCCTTCGGGTGAGGTGTCTCGGTCGACGGGTGTTACACGATCTATTGTTATTCCTAGCTCCGAACTTGGGGAATATGAGATAAAGAATTTGATGGATGCAATATAAGAAAAATTATCTAAATCTTGCTATAAATCATCATTATTTATTTATTTATTTTATCAATTTTCCATTCGAGTTAAGATTGAACAAATGTTTTGTGAAAAAAAAAAAAAAGTGGGTTGGTGTATGATTACGAAAGAGAAAATTAAAAGGAATAGAACGTGGGTTTATTCCATGACAACAAGAAATCTATTAAATCAGGGCTGAACAAAGCTTATATCGTAACAAGTTGAACCAATTTAAGTTTCCTGACAAATTTTATGTCCTACATAAGTTGATTTAGAAATTTAAATTGATGAAACACCTTCTTAATTGTTGAAATAAATATAAAAAAAGGGCAAACCTAAACAATCACCACTCTGATCATACTTTGCATTGTTTATTTGGTCTCAGAAGCAGTAGTTGGCATTTGGCCGAGTCATTTCCTAAAACACCTTCTTAATTGGAATGTGAATTCAACTTCTTAATTGGAATTTTCTTTTCAGTTGTTCTACTTTGAATGCAAACCTAAAAGGCAACATCATTGCTCCTTCTGCTCTGTGTAGTGCCTATCGATCAGTTCATTTCCCTCACAAGATTTGCACCTTCTCCATTTCTTCAGATTTATTCAAATCATTTGCAGAACATCTTGTCGTGTATGCCAGGTAAACTATTACAACATAATTTCTCTTCACAGTTTTGTTGAATGCACTGTCATTTGAATCTTGCACAATATGCTTGTATTATTGTCATTTAAGTACAGAGATTCTATCATTGATAAAGTATTTGGAGTTCAAGATTAGATCAGATGATGGTTCAAAGATGGCCTATTGACATCCAGTTTGGGTTTTGACTCCTGCCACATATATGTTACCACTCATTATTTGCAGACTTGATTTCCTTGCAAAAGTAAAAGCTTTTATCATGTCTTAATTTGGAATATTGAATTACTGGAATTCCTTTCTCGACAACTTCGATGAAATTGACCCCCTCAGACTTCAGTTTCTTCTGTTTTTGTCTTCTATTTTGCCATCATCTGCACATGTTATACTAAATACTAATATTGCCTTCTTTTACATGTTCATTTTGCTATCAACTCTTAACTTATTTCTCTCTCACATAGAAGCAAGGAAGTTTGCAGCTGGTTATTAACTTGGCAGCGCTCCAGTGCTTCTTTTCTCTTCTGTTCTAATATAGATCTTCAAAGTCTCAGCAGCTTATCAGGTCCCATGGTATGCATTTTTTTTGCCTTTGCATTTCAGTCAATTATAATCATGCGTAGTTATTTAAGTTTGTTTTGGTATAGTCTTTAAACAAAAGAGTCTGTTCAAAAAGAATTATTTCTTAGTTTAGTTTTATAGATAATGTGTACACACACGTGCATACGTATATAGATTTTGAGAATTCTTAATTTATTAAGGAGAAAAATGGTTCAATTACAGGATGAACTTCGGGCTTTTGTTGAGAAGATGAGTGATGGCAAACAGAAGTGTAAGTTCTGTGGGCAAGTATTCTCGGGTACGACTTCAATTACAAGGTTCAAATGGCATTGGTCAAAAGTTGAACGACAGGGTGTTAAACCTTGTGCCCACGTAACTACTGAAGTTCAAGAAGCAGCCTTCCAATCAGTTCAGCAGGCTCCAAACAAGAAACGTAAGATAATGTCGAGTTCAAGAAATATTAATGAAGTCATTCATGCAATTCCAACTACTCAAGAAGAAATCAATGAAGTTGGCATTTTGGTGGGAGATCAAGGAATGATCCAAATGGAAGTTGATGGAGTGGAAGGAGGAGCTTTTTCACAAAAGGAGAAGCTCTTTTACCTGGGGCACTAGCATGGATGGATAGCTTGACTGATAAAAATGTTGAGAGCTTTGCTCAGTTCATGAGGGTTGATGTAGAGAATGGGGATGAGAGCAGAGGAGATGCACATCAAGCTACAGATAGAGGGGGTCAAGGAGCACTGGATGAAGAGAGAGCATCTTCAAGTGCTGAAGCAGCTGGAAATCAGATGGAGAACATGATTCGAGGAATGGCCCAGCCTATTGACAGAAGTTTCTCTCCCGATAGGCGTATTGTTGCTGCAGATGAGCCCAGAGGAGATCCACAGCAACAAAATGATGAAATGGAGAATTTGGCTGGAGATGAAGGAAGGACACAAAAGGAAGTCCAGGGCATGGAACATGCTGAGCCTCAAGAAGATTCATCACGATCAACGGATCTATTGTGCGTTGGCCTCGGAAGACATTATGATAAACTCTGTTCTTCATCACTGAACAATGATGTGATTATGAATGATGTGGAGAACATGATGAGAGGACCTAGGCAGCATGTTGCAAGAGGTGGTTCTCACGCGACGCTACCAGTTAATCAAGATGAGCCTGTCAATGATGTGGATAACATGGTTAGAGTTCCGGGGCAGCCTGTCACGAGAGATAGCTCTGATGAAGGTCTTCAACATGATGGAGATGAGAGGAGTGGAGATGCATTTCCAACTAAAAAGCTAGTGGGTGGAGAGTTTGCGAAAAATGAGAAAGCCATCTGGTCTTGGTTAATGAATGATGAGGTCTCAAGTATTGGCATTTATGGAATGGGAGGAGTGGGTAAAACCACACTCCTGAAACATATCTACAATCAGCTTTTAGAAAGGCCTGACACTTCTCGGCATGTTTACTGGGTTACTGTGTCGAGAGATTTCAAGATTGATTGGTTGCAGAATCTTATTGCTGAACGTCTTGGTTTAGATCTTTCAAAAGAAAATGACGAGTTGCATAGAGCTGTCAAATTGTCTAAAGAACTAAAGAAGAAACCGAAATGGGTTCTGATTTTAGATGATTTGTGGAACTCTTTTGAGCTAGACAAGGTGGGAATTCCTGACCCAGTGGGAGGTTGCAAGCTGATTCTTACAACTCGAGATTTAAAAGTTTGTCGTAGGATGAGCTGCTTACACAAAATCAAAGTGCAAGTTTTATCTGAGGAAGAAGCTTGGACTTTGTTCATGGAGAAACTTGCACATGATGTTATACTCTCTCCTGAAGTTGAACGAATTGCAAAATGTGTCATGAGAGAGTGTGCTGGTTTGCCTTTGGGAATTATTACAATGGCAGGAAGCATGAGGGGAGTGGATGACCCACATGAGTGGAGGAGTACATTGGGTAAATTGAAACAATCAAAATTTAGAGACATGGAGGATGAGGTACTTGGAGTGTTGCAGATTAGCTATGATCGCTTAAATGATTTTGCACTACAACAATGTCTCTTATACTGTGCATTATTTCCAGAAGATTATGTGATTCTTAGGGAGCACTTGATAGGTTATTTGATAGATGAGGGAATTATAGAAGGGATGAACAGCAGAAAGGCAGAATTTGACGAGGGACATACGATGCTTAATAAACTCGAAAATTTTTGCTTATTGGAAAGCTGTATAGATTTTCATGATGAAAGAGCCGTCAAGATGCATGACTTGATTAGGGACATGGCCCACCGAATACTGCAAACGAAGTCTCTAGTCATGGTTGGTGAGGAATTACCAGATGTCGATAAATGGAAAGAGGATCTGGTGAGGGTCTCGTTTTGGCGTGGTTGGTTCAGGGAAATTCCTTCTAGTCATTCCCCAAGGTGTCCAAGGCTTTCAACCTTGTTGTTATGCGAGAATCTTAAATTGAGGTTTATTGCAGATTCTTTTTTCAAGGAATTGCGTGGGCTCAAGGTTCTTGATTTGTCTTATGCAAGTATTGAAAACTTGCCAGATTCTGTCTCTGATTTGGTGAGTCTAAATGCATTATTGCTAGGAGGTTGTTATCAGTTGAGGCATGTACCATCATTCAAAAAGCTCAAGGCACTGAAGAGGTTGGATCTCGCTGATACTGCACTTGAAAAGATTCCTCAAGGCTTGGAATGTCTATCCAACTTGAGGTATCTAGGACTGAATGGATGTGGTGGAAAGGAGTTTCCTAGTGGGATATTACCTAAACTCCCCAACCTGCAAGTCTTAGCACTAGCGGATGTAACTGTTAAAGGAATGGAAGTAGCTTGTTTGAGGAAGTTGGAAACTTTGCAATGCCATTTTGAAGGTTACTCTGACTTTTTAGAGTATCTCAAATCTCAAGATGAGTTCCAATCACTACGCAAATACCAAATTTTTGTAGGACAGGTAGATGAAGATGATGCAGATGGGACCCATATCTATCCCGGACATAATTCGGTTTGGTTGGGTAACTTCAGTTTCAACAGAGATGGAGATTTTCAGGTCATGTTCCCAAATGACATTGAACAACTGGGGATTTGTAAATGTAATGATGCAAGAAGTTTATCTGTTCTCTCATTAAAATATGCAACTAAACTTGAGATCATGGAAATTGTCGATTGCAATAGCATGGAGAGCTTGGTTTCATCTTCTTGGCTCTGCTCTGCTCCACCACCATCTCCTTCTAATGGTATATTTTCTGGTCTTAAAATGTTTTATAATTATCGGTGTGCAAGGATGAAGAAGCTGTTCCCACCTGTCTTGTTGCCAAACCTCGTAAACCTGGAAGAGATTCTAGTTCACGATTGTGAGAAAATGGAGGAGATAATAGCAAGAAGCGATGACGAAGGGGTTATGGGTGAAGAATTCAGTCTCCCAAAGTTGAAGTCTCTGGAATTGCATTGTTTACCAGAATTGAAAAGCATTTGTAGTGCAAAACTGATTTGCGATTCTCTAGAATATATAGAAGTAGTGTATTGTGAAGAGCTAAACAGGTTGCCTATTTGTCTTCCGTTGCTTGACAATGGCCAGCCATCTCCTCCCCCTTCTCTTACACAAATACATATAAGGCCAAAAGAATGGTGGGAGACAGTAGTGGAGTGGGAGCATCCCGAGGCTAAGGATGTCCTTGATCCCTTTGTATCTCTCTATCCTTAATTTTAGCCCACTCTACGTTCCCTACTTATGCAGTTGCTCACACAACCAAATTTCAAATTTCTTGCATCTCTTTTTCAGTCTCCTTAATGTTCTCTTCCTGTAATTTGTAATTTCTTTAAGTTATGAATTCCTTCCATATCTGTGGTTTTTATCTTCATTCCCAACCCATGCATTTGCCTTTTAATTCTAATAATTGGATTGACTTTGTTGTTCAAAAATATATGTAAAAAGAAAAAGATCATTTTTCATTATAGTTAAACTTAAATACACAAAACTTAAACCCCTATTATGGATCTTTATCTCGTAAATATAAAAGAATCCCAACCGAGCAGTAGCTTTTGGAAGGACGGAACACCAGCTGTTCGATGAAATGTCTCTTACGAAGTTGTTATTAACCGAGTTATAAAAGCATCTATGTCTCTGATAACCATTTCTTGTTGAAGCATTCAACAACTGATAACTAGTAATCAATGTCTCTGATAACTAGTACATGCTATGATCTTCCTAATTCTCCCTCGAAATACATGCAATCTATTTGAAAAGCCTACAGACTGTATAATTTTCCTGCTAAACAACTTGAATCTTACATTATGGGACAGATACACTGGGTGGGTTGTATGGGTTGTATTTATTGTTTAGGCGTTACGAGTCTTATGCAGCATATGAAACTGTCTTTATAGGCAATGATACTATTTTTTTCTGAAATTTAATGGCTTTATACCGTAAATTGCCTTGGATTCTTCCTTTATTAGTACTCTGTGTT